AAACCAACAAACGAACGACGTACGAGTAGTAATAAAGGTTACGGTTTCGTACGTAAGACGCGACCACCGTAGACGACTCTCGTACCACCTACGTCACTACTCCTCCTCTCTCTCTCTCTCTCTCTCTCTCTCTATAACTTCTTTTGGAAAAGGCCGTGGACTAGCAGATTTAAATAGGCGACAAATGCACAAAATAAAGCATCCGCCATTTTACAAAATTATCAAAAAGACCCTCTACTTCTTTTAAACGCCCTTATGTAATTTGGATTATTAGAAATAAAAATGTACAAATTTTCGTATTTTAACTAATATTTTTGGTGGTTTTTGAAGTGGGGCTTTATTTATTTTGATAGGGCTGCAACGCTATGAAAAACATTTTGCTAATTTTTAAAAGAAACCATCAAATCATAGCTTACCTCAAAACTTTCATCAGCAGATGTTGTTTTGATGCTCAACTACAATCAAATTGATTATCTCCACATAAACATAAAAAAAAAATAGATTTCATGTGTGGAAAATAATGCATCTTGTAACACATTTTTGGATTATCAATTTTTTATATTTTAAGCTTTCATAGATCTACTCAATCTACATTATTTTTTAAACTTCAAATTTTACCATTAAAGTTTAAAAATATAATTTAAGGCTATCACAAAATTTTTCAATATGAAATCCATATTTCTCGATACTGTTTAAAGGTGGGCTCTTCTAATTTGATGGTTTAGAGCCTCGGCTCTATACAAACCGCACCCAATTTGTATTGGAAGGTTTAGTGGGGTGGTTTATTGGAAGTCAAATTTTGTTTGTCAAGACTAAAAGAGTGAAGACTTTGGTAGAAAAGTTGTGTACAATAATAGTTGTTGGCGTTATGGTACATGCAGTACGAAGAGAATTTTGGACGTACCTGTTACGACATGCAAAAGAAGGGATATGAAAAGTGAAAAGTACAGAGCCTGGAAATTTACAAATAGGACCTGCTTTTTATGAGACCAAGCCCACATATGTAAAAATGCGGGCATCTTACTTAGTCTATTTTATGAGACGAAGCCCATATATGTAAAAATGCGGGCATCTTACTTAGTCTATGTTTTAATTGATTTTAAGACTTTATTTTTAAAGACATGTAATCTTTAACGGTCCAGCTTTCCATGCTCCCCTTACAGCATATTCTATCCTCTTCCTACTATCCCGTCTAATTTTAATCAAGATGGCTCGGTCATTCACCGTTCATTCTTAGATCCGACATCTTAAAGTATTTTATTTTTAGTTTTTTTATATAAATTGTATGAATATGAAATTTGGTACGTGCCATCTTTTCATTGGGACGCACCTATAAAAATATTAAAAATAATTTTTCGATAAAATATAATAACTAAAATACCCCTTGAAACTTTCAGGGGTATTTTGGTCATTTTATTATTAAAAATAAATTTTTTATATTTTTTTCTTGTGCAAGTTTAATAGAGGAATGGACGTCCAAATTTGGTATCAAAATAGTTTATAGAAAAAAATTAAAAATAAAATGGTATAGAGATATGATGTTGTGATTGGAACAATCTTAACCCTCCATTCAGAATGGACGGTTTGATAAGGGGTAGGATAGAACTTCTATGCATAGGAGAAGCATCGAAACCTTTACCATCTCTAACATGGACATCATGATTATGAATAACTAAATAAATTTTAAAAATTAGAAACAATAATTCTAGTAAGAAAACATTTGGACCGCTAGTTTCCATTGTTTTTACATGGAACAACTACTTGCATCCATCTTTAAGATGGATGCTTTACACCTTTTGAACCGTATATGTAGAAATGTGGTCCAGTCTGTATGAAACAATTTTCCTTTAATTAAATTCATCTTTAAAACATTTAGTATAGAAATTTTTTAAAAATCACATCTATCTATATAGTTAGCAATATTATATGTCTAGAGTTATACATTAAAAAATTCATATATTACATTGTCGTAAAGAAACTTATTTTCTTTTGTATATTTTTAAAAAAATGTTATGCATTAAAAAAATCATATATTACTAGAGTTATGCATTAAAAATTCATATATTATATTGTCGTAAAGAAACTTATTTTCTTTTGTATATTTTTAAAAAAGGTGCGGTTTGTATAAAGTCAAGGCTCTAAACAATCAAAGCGCACCTTATGCGTTACAAGATGCAATATTTCCAAAACTTGAAATCCATTTTTTTCTCATGGCCATGCATCTTGATGTCAAGATGGTCAATTTGAGGATGTTTGGGCGTCAAAACAAACTCTTCTAGTGAAATTTTTGAGGTGGGCTCTAATTTGATTGTTTGGAGCTTCGGTTGTATTTTACATAAGGTTGCAGCTTTAAACAATCAAATTAACTCGCACCTCCAAATTTTGTACTAAATACAATTTTGGTGTAAAAATTATTAGGATGGCTTGAGAATCTATTTCCATATCTAATAATAAAATTTTGAACTCTGAAAATGGCTCAAATCAAGTAGATCTATAAAACACTTGAAAATCTTGAAAATGGACAGTCCATATAATGTGTTAAAAGATGCACTATTTTTTGACCTCAAAATCTTTTTTTCTTTTTATATTAATACATCTCGATGTTGACATGATCAATTAGAGGGTTTTCTAACATCAAAACAACCTTGCATGATGGATTTTTTAGGTATACTTTAATTTTACATTTTAATGTTGCAACTTTATAGAGACCTTTTCCTTAAAAAACAAGTTATAGAAAAGAATACATATCCTAGGACATATAAATAAATAAATTTAAATAAGATTTTATAAATAGGAATAATATTTTAATAGTAATAAATCTGAATTAACAATTACCTTAATAAAACAAATAATTTTATTATTTGAAAAAAATGATGAAAAACCCTAATTTCTTCCCCAAAAAAGGGCTTGTTTTCCTAACCCATGAAACAAAGCTTCGATTAATCGACCTAAAGAACTGAAATGACAAATCAAATAAGGAATTGGTCAGAGAACTCAATAGTCTGCAAATAGAGACAGATATCAAATCAAATAAATCGTGTATCACACCCAAAAGAAATAGGGTTTTTTGCGGATAGAGAGGAAACCTATGAAATATTACAAAATAGG